ACATGAATTTTATTTGAGGTCAGAAATGACCGGAAAAGGGAATTCCTGCGAAGGACCTCTCTTGGCTTCTTGCCTTCGCTAGAATAGCCCATTTCCGAATTGCCTTTAGCCTCTTTTTCAAAGCGAGTCCTGGTGCTTATCCTTTCGTATGGTAATAAGTTTTCATTCACATGCAAATTAAACTCATTTTCATACGTATGGTTGAGCACCAGGCAATCGTTTTGAAAAAGAGACCAGACGTAATTCGGAAATGGCCTATTGTTAATGGGGTTTGCCATTAAATAAATCGATCAGTGGTTGGTGCAACTTAAAGTGGTGTTCACTGTTTAATCATCTTTGCGTTTAGAGCGGCTATCAGATCTTGAATAAAATGAAACATGTCATTAATCAATGTATACCAATGAAACTATTTACGTTCCTCTCGTTTCACATTACTATCTAGGTGTTCTAGGACTACCTTTGGTGCGAGTTGTTCCCGAAATGATTGAGACTGTGGAGGGCAGGGATGTTACTGTAATGTGTAACGTGACAGCTAATCCTAAACCATTTAGTATCACTTGGAAAAAGTTTCATGGAATTATTTCCGGGGTGAAAGGCATCGTGAATGAAGGAAATCTCACCATACTAAATATCAGTACACAAGACAATGGCTCCTACGTGTGTACTGCGACAAACCCCTGCGGTACCAGATCATCTTCATTTCACCTTCGAATCTATTCAGCTCTCAAATTCGTCATCAAACCCCCGTCGAGTGTGACAGTGAAGGCTTATGAAGCTCTCATTCTGCCTTGCTCTGCTTCAAGTGACCTGACGCCATCGATCTTGTGGATGTATGATGGAAATTTTGCCTTACCTTCAGGGGCGGCTGTTGACTCCTTGAATGATTTGACAGTTTCCTTTGCTAACTTCACCCATGGTGGTACCTACACTTGCAATGCGACTAATACATTCAGCTCAATTCAAAAGAGTGTCATCGTTTATGTCAAGTACTCTGAGACATGCACCTCAGTGAGGGCAAACATCAGTGACGTCAGTGGGGATTATTTCATCGATCCTGACGGTGCTCTTGGAGATGATCCATTTCCTGTTTACTGTAACATGACTGACAAAGGAGGCGTTGGAGTAACAGTTGTAGGTCACGACAGCGAGAACAGAACCCAAGTAAAAGGATTTGACAACCCTGGTGCATATCGCCTTGACGTACATTACATCTCTGTCACCATATCACAATTAAAAGTTTTGACAGAAGCCTCTGATAACTGTGAACAGTTCATCAAATATGAGTGTTTCCACGCCAGATTAGTAAGAGGTGGATTTTCATGGTGGGTTTCACGTGACGGCGAGAAAATGACATACTGGGGGGGGAGCAAATATAGCAACTGGCGGCTGCGCATGTGGTGTAACTGGATCGTGCGCTGATGACCAATTGGAGTGTAATTGTGATAAGAATGATAAGGAATGGCGGGAAGACAGCGGTTTTCTTACCAATAAGGCCCACCTTCCCGTCAAACAACTAAGATTTGGTGACACGGGACAAAGTATTGAAGAAGGATACCACACATTAGGAAAACTTGAGTGCTATGGCATGACTTTGGTGTAGACAAAACTGAAAACATGAAAATTCGGACCATGATCGTAACAGATCAGATCTGACGCTATGACCGATCTTTTCTGGGTCGCTTGAGGCTTTCTGTGCCTGGTAATACCCAGTACTCATAATTTTTCTCATCATGTTTCCCACCTCTTTTCTGTTTAATCGTTCAGTCATTTGATTTTTGGTTATACGACATTCATTAGAAGAGGTCTCTAATCGAGTCTCTCTGTTTAATGAAGCTTTATATCAAGAAACTTAGTTTAGTAATGGAGTCAGTATGCTGTGACATATAATATACAATCCTCGTTATTAGTTTAGTTTGCTCTTAGTAATCACGAATGTAATATCGCAACGTAATTTAGTTATGGCTTAAAACGGATTTCGTGCAGATGTAATCAGCCATTGTGTGTCGTTAACAGTGCATTGAAGTAGAGAACAGAGGTGTCTGAGGGGAGAGAGAGAGAGATATAGGAAGTCACCGGCAAGTTGCTTAAATTCATGTTCAAAATATATTAAGAGGGTTTTTAATCTGAATAGCAGAATGATAGCAGAGCCATCGCTTTTTCTACCGACGGGTTACCCAACTTCGTAACGTCTTTTGAATATCGGTATAGAAAAGAACAGACCGATCACTGACCTTATGCATAACTCGAAAGTTATAAAATGCTTAAAAAATTCATACTGACCTTCCCTCCAAAAATTTTAGTCACTTAAAAAAAAAGATTCCAAATTATAAAAAGTGGGAATCAAAGAACAAGTGCATTGCTTTAAATGTCGTAAGTAGAATTACATATACATTTTTCACCTTAGGTACCAGCATTACTTTTCCCATGCAGGTGTGGTGGATTTCAGGGAGATCACACGATTTACATGATTCTCATTTGTTCGCAGCAGTCCCAAAATCCACGTGACACCCATCACTGAGGCCAATTTAACACAGATCAAAGCCACGTTAGAGCTTTGCTGTTGCTTGGTCATTTCTCTGGCCTTCTGAAATAGCCAAAATGAGAATAGCCCTGATTTTAAAATTCAGATTTTCTTGCGGTGTTTTTTCGGTCATGGAAGCCGTCGAAAAAACGGTTAAATATGTTAAACTCAGATAGACAGACCCTGAAATACTAGGCTATTGATGACCTTCGTTGACAAAAGCATGGTAAATATTGTACTCATCTTTCGAGTTTTGACGACATGATAGCTAGTGTGTCTCAGGGTAAAGAGGTTGAAAATCAGAATCAGTCCACCAGGCAAAATTAATGCGAAGATCTTGGCTCTATTCTCAGATATGAAACATTCCTCTTTTCCAACACCGTTTAATTCAGCAACAAATGGTATTAGTTGAGGTATTTTGCAATATCAATATCAACTACCCGAAGTAAAGGTGAACTATGGTTTTATCTTAACAAGCAGTTATTACATCGTTTTGTGTCAAGTACCAACCGCATCGAATTGCTCGTTTCTGAAGCTGATCAACTGTAACACAGGATAGGACTACAAAAGCAGGACCTCCCCAGGCATACACCGAATAACGCATCAAACATTTATTGAAGTCTTCTCGTTGGTCTGCTGCCGGACCTAATTGGAATGATAAGGGTTGACTGTGCAAAATCTTAATTATTAATTGTGCAGTTAAGTATTTTAGCTGAAATGCATTCTGTGCGAACTGCCTCCACAAGTCCTTAGCTCAGATAAACTGAATTATGATTAAAGCAATCTGAAGTCGAGACTGTGATCGACAATGGAAGTTATTAACTTGTGACACAAGCGTTTACAGTTCGTTACAAGTAGATCCGCCACAATCAACAACCGCCACTCTTTTCACGAATCACGAATACCTGAGATGCTCTTTTGGTACGAAGAGATTACTAAGAAAAAATGTCCTAAGTTCTAGACTGATAACAACCTTAAATCGCTAAATGAACTATGTCAAATTACCCGAAAGTCAGAACTGCGATTACTTGGCAGATCACCTGATTGCCTTTTTTTTCCTGCTGATAGGAATACACTTTGATATAGCAACAGAGATCGCCAAGTTTAATATGATTTTCCAGGTAAATTACGAAGCTCAACAAGTAAGACGTAAGTCAATAACAGCAAAACCAGAGATACGATGGACACGACTGATCCAACAAAGCTGTAGAGCTGTAGGTTATATTTTTCTTTGAGCTCAAATGAAGAGTCTCTTGTTTCAGTGTCATTTTTTGTCAAATTAACGTACAATAACAATTTGTCACCACAGATGATATAAGATAACGTTACTGTATAGTTTCCCATGTGTCTTCAAGAATACGAGATCATTGGGAACGAGTTCATAATCCGTTTTTTTGTACGCTACAAAGGTGCAATTAAGTTTACATGCCTTGATTCTGTTTCCATATGCAGGGTCTTTTTTGCCACAGTGTGAGTCATATGCTTCATCGTAATGACAGCTGTTAGGATAATATTCTAGTCTTTGGCTGTTGTCCAATACTTTAATGCGAAACTTAGATGTGGAAGTAAATTAAAACAGAATCGTCAGAAAAGGGGTCTTGGTTATGGGAGCAGAGACGCCTTCTCGCCCCCCCCCCACCCCACCCTAAGAACTAAATCACTGAGCGCAATCCCATTGCATAAAACACATCGGAGATTTCGAAACACCTTCCATTTACTCCCGTAACCGGATACTAAGAGAGCATAATCTAGACATTCCGCATGGCAAAGGGTATTACCCATTGTGGCATTGCTTACGCTTGGATGCCGTACCCACGGGATGCATCTTTTGAACGAATCATCAACTGGCTGTTTAGAAAGATAACACCTATCTTGTAGAATGTTCAGGTCTTTGCTTAGACTAAAGTTGGAGACATCGAACCACTCAAAGCAATCAAACCTGACTTGTCAGTATGCTTGGTGCATTGCTCCATTGCACTTGGCACAAAAATGTTTTTGTATCTCACATCACTGTATTTGTCAAATACTGGCACAGGGTTCAAACCATTCTTATCTTCATGATCAACTTCACATGTTTGCTTTGTATTCTCATCGGTAAAGTTCTTCGGGCAAGCGCTCCAAACTGCGCGACCAAAGTGCCAATACGAGAACTGATAGTCATATTTCCTGACACGTTTCCTTCGAAACTTGGGGTATTGTACACCTTTCCAAAAAACAAAAGCGAAAATAAAAGCGCTCTATATTATTTGGTAAATTGGCTCTTTAAATGGTAAAGCAGGACAAAGAGAAGTGGGGGGGGGGGGGAAGGGACGGAAATGGCAAGGGGAAGTGTAAGAGCTGTGGGATCGAACCAGGTATCAAGGTATTGAGATCTGAACTGCACCTTTAAGTTCTTCTTTTCCCTTTTTTCCCTTTATCTTCGACTAAATAAATTTGTCGTCACGTCTTCACTTTTAGTATATTTGTACAAAAACAAACATTAAATAATCAAGTTTGCGGCAATCCCAAGAATCCATGTGATACCCATCACTGAGGCCATCTTAACACAAATCAGAAGCACGCTAGATATTCATTGTTGGTTGATGATTTCTTAAGCTTTCTGCATTTTAAAAAAGTGAACACAAAGACATATTTGCTTTAGACTTTAATATTACCATGGCGATTGCAGTTATCAGTATTACCAGTATACACGATAAAAAAATTGTGGGCTACCTGTGGCTTTCAATATATCTAATACGGGGTTAAAACGTCGCAAGTCAATCGGTGTTGAGGAAGGCCAGTTGGTCTGTTAATCGGTAAGTTAACGAGTCAGTTAGTCAGTCCGATAGTCAGCCAGCTTGCCAGTCAGGCAGGCAGGCTTTTAGTCCAGTCAGCCAGTTGGTCAGACATTCAGATAGTTAGTTAGTTAGACAGCTGCAAAAAGCAAGGAAGGCAGATCAGTGGGTAGACAGAAAGCTAGTTGGAATGGCCTTCGGTCAAATGGGTCAAAGAAAGTTAGTCAAAGTTTAGTCATGATAAAATATAACCTGCACTTAAAGCTAATCAGATTGGAGCCATGCTCGCTTTTAACAGTTTCAATCGGTCAATGTAAACTTTTGTGAATTGATTTACACGTTTCTCATCAAAATACTTAATCAAGGATGGAAAGATATTAATTAATTCACGGTACCTTTTGAGTGCCAAAGACAACGATTATCGTGTGTCCCGGTGCAAAAAGGTTGAAGATCAGGATCAGTGCAATAGGCACAACAGATGAATAAAGCTTGTCTTGAGGAACAGATATAAAAAATTCTTCTTGAACTTTTCCTGTTTGAGTTTTAAAGGAAGAAGTGAATCAATTGCAAACTTTTTAATTCCACACTCTTTCTATTAGACAAACCTATTTCACATTATCTATGAAAGCTATAAGTTCGTCAATGAGTAATCGATTTCCTTAAAAGTGCAGACAATAAACGTTTTGCCCCACTACTGCAGTAGAGAAAGAGATTGGGCAGATGGTAAAGACTTGGAATGGCATTCCATTCATGGTGAACATGGAGGCAACAAGTCGCTTCCGTGCAGGCCACCTAAGCTTAATGGACATGAGGGATTGAGTTAATAAGATAAAATTACCTCTTATGAAGTTCGTTAGATTGAAAATTTTTATGATCCGTGAATCTTACGAGAATTCGAACTATCAGTATTTTGATCGCTCAACAACACATAGAAACAAACCAAAATTAGAAGGCACCAAAAACCAGAAGAACGGCTAGGCAAAATACATATCAGTTAAGGAACATTAGATGACAATGTTTTTATTTTCGTATTTGTTGCAGGTGTATCGTCTTAAAAGGCCTCAGGAAGTATTACCGTATCCAATAGTTCCATTTTCTACCAAGTCGATGATAACACAGACGAGAATCAAGACAGTAGGAGCTCCCCAGGCATTCAAAAAGTACCTGACGAAACGCTTCTTGTGGCAACCTTATCGATTTTCTGCAATTAAATTTTAGATTTAGATCTGATTTAGCAAACAGACATGTCAAATTTTCGGAAGAAATGATGACTTAGGACACATCCTTCGAGAATTTCTTTTAGCAGAAGTCTCCTCTCCCTCCTCTTTATCTCATCAGCGACATGCTGAGAGGGAAATGGAGAAGAATTGTGACCGACTGGCATGTCTGACGATCGTTAGTCTTCCCAGAGGAAAAGAAGACGCTATGTTACAGCAGCAGAGATATCGCCGAGTTTATGATAATTTTCCTGGGTAAGTTACGGAGCTTTGAAAACATGAAGTAGGTTAGAAGCAGAATGATCAGAGAAACCATCGAAATTATCGATCCAGTCAAAGTAACAAGCTGAAGAGCTTTGGGCGTTGTTTTCATCTTAGAGAGGCGAAGTCCTTTATCTGTCGCGATAATTTTTGGGAGAAATTTACCCACAAAAGTAACTTGTGGTCCTGGATCATGTATGCAATCTTGTCGTCTATTTTTCTGTTAGGCGCTAAATAGATTAATCCGTTAGACAGTTTTGTATAATCCGTTCTGTTAAATGCTATGGAGGTACAGTTTTCATTCCATTCCATTGTACTTCTGTTAGCACTTTGCTGATTGCCATCGATATAGTCGTTTAGTGCTGACTATGCAATTGTGTTTTTGCATTTGAAATCATAAGGTCGTATACTTCGTCAATGGAACAGTATTATCTATCCACTACACATTCTAAGCAACACATGGCAATCTGCGGTCTTTCCTTACACTTAGGTAGCACGGAAAGCCGGAAAACTCTTGAACAAAAGCTCATCTTTCAAACCGGCAGTCTAAATCCCACAGGTATCAACGAACGCTTTTCATTCCACTAATTTATTCGTGTTTTTCTCGTTGCCATGTTCCCACCAATCACGTAGCTCCTTTTTCTGCCTTTAAAAGCACACACAACCCACAATTCCCCTATTCGCTCCGACGAAGGGCTAACGCTCGAAACGTCAGCTTTTCTAATGGTAACGGTGGCCAATTTACCATTTCAACTTTGTTGATATATTCAAATTATTTCGTTACCCCCACCGACGCAGCCCCGAACAGTTTCTTTAGCCGGTATTGGATGCGGCGTTCAGCTTTTGACGTCTACACAATTAAATACAGGTATCAGCGAATCAGTCATTTGGAGATCATGAGACATTTGTAGCTTGAAGCAGCATAACCAAGGGTGTGGCTTACGACAAGATGAATGGGTTATCTGATTAAGCTTTTGTTTGTAACCTATCTCCTACTTAAACAAAGTGATAACATGTATGATGCACGATCCTCGCAGTAGATAACGCTATTTAAGCAATAGCGAAAATCAGACCTGAAAAAAATCAGGCCTGTACGGGATTCGAACCACTGACCTCTGCGAGCAATAACAAGAAGTAACTGTGCTTGCATTTGCTGTTGTTATTTTTGTCTTTGTGTTGTTTTGTTTTGTCTGCTTTTTTTTCCTCTCTTTGTTGTATTTATTGATACCTTGTTTGCTGTGTACAGCAAAAGGTTTAGAACTAAAACTAACTTACAACTCATGGAACTCAAAACAGCAGTCTCCCGGATAATCGCAAATATTGTCACAAAAGAATTTCGGTATAATTCTCATAGAAAATATTATTGAAGCGTTTCGATCTTCCTTCCCACATCGTTCTTTACAGTTGTACATCTCCGGGTAGCGAAACCCTACCGGCACAAAAAACGTTTTCCTCAATGGATTTTTCTTCCCACTCTGTTTCTGCATAGAAGGGAAAATTAGATATTACAGGGGACTTTTGACGCCGAAAACAAATTAGTTATGAATTAGTGAATAACTGAAGGAAGCAGAAAGACAGACTAGTTAGGACGCTTAGCTTGTGATCTTGTATGAAGCCAAATTGCTGCCTTCTGCCCTTTCTTTCCAATGTTTGTTTCAAATTGATCAGTATTGACCCTGCAAAGCGCTATACGGGGAGTGGTCAACTACTTAAGAATTACATGGCATTACCATTAAACAAATTCAGCACCAAAGAACGTACATTTGCAATTAACGTAGTTTTCATTGTTTGTAAATTGAATGCGGAGTATCCATCATTTTAATCTATCCCAGCTAAAAAGGTGGGACTGAAAGTGCGCAATAATCCGCAATTTGGAATTTCACATCCAGCACAAAGATATCTTCTATTAAAGTTCAATTCAAGATGGCTACCTTTTACTTGTTTTTATTTTCAAGCAAAGATTTATATGCTATTGACGTCCACGTCATCTCTTTTGATAAATCGTGATACATATTCGGTGAACCACTCTTGACCCAAAACAATTGTGGTACATATTCGGAGTACAACCTCCAGCCCAAAACTCGCGCGTGATTTGATCACTGTTCACGGTTTAACTGAACAGAAAGAAAATCCCACTCATGCAACCATTGCTGATTGTCATTCAGACTAGCCCTCCATGATGAGCATCGCCATCTGATCTGTCAATGGTCAATCGCCATGACTGAGAGCGCTGTGATGGTGCGGCTAACGTACCAGCAACTAGTAATAAAATCAAATTAAGGTCCTCTGTTCCTTCTGTTCCTTACCATTATTTACAGTAACACCTGTACTGCAGTTCTGTCGTGTGCGCAGAGAATTGATCAGAAGAGAGACCACAGCAGTTATTTTAACGGAAGAAGCTTTCGGCAGAATTGAGGTCGAGGCGAAATCATTCGCGACAGAGCCATTCAAATCTGAAATAAATTGCATTTAACCGTAATATTAAGACGGGAGTATATCTATATTTGTGCTCCTTCAAATATATAGATTTTGTAGCTTACACATGCCCTCACCTTTCCTTTTGCCATCTACTTTTGTCCATGATATACTAAGATGAAGCTGACAACGCCAGTAGAAGAGACGTCACGGTGATATTGACTGAAAATAGTCATTTTTTCTGTAAGCTGCTCCAATCAAAAGATGAGAAGTACAAAATACGCTTTTTCTAAACATTATACCCACAATGTGATTCCTAACACAAGGTGCACCCTGAAGTTTTTCTGGTATACATTGGGCAAAATATCTAACAGCAATGCCATGTGTGTACAAAACGTGTTGACTGTAGTATTTCTTACTATATGACAACGATTCCTTGAAACCAAGAGAAAATCGAATATTCTCTTCTTGAAACTTAACTTCAAACTGTTTTTTTAAGTGTGTTTCACTTATGTGATATCACCATGACAACTTCCCTTATCCTGTCTACTTGATATTTCCCTTAATTCACACTTTCCAATCAGGTATGTCTAGTCATCCTATTATGTAGTAACAACGACTCGCATGTTTCTACATGGTTATTACACCTTTTTTCTCACCATAAACACTGCATTACCGCAGTAGGGCAAGACTAGAACGGAAAATTAGCGATCCATGCGAGTAGTCCACCCATTAAATCCCATCCATCCCACCCCAGGGGAGGACATCCATCACACAGTAATCTCGTGCCTGGGAAATTGACGTCTCCTACCCCTAACCCTGTAGGAGACGCGACTTCCATTTAAAATGATCGATGTTAAAGCTCTTATTCAAATGGTTATAAGTTTATCTATAAAACGAAAGTAACTTGCCATGGATGAGGGGCGCTTCTTTAACAACCAGGCCCACTTAAGACTTGAAGGAGTCGACACCGGCGATCCTGTTTGACCAGTTCATCCTGTTTGACCAGTTCAATCAAATTAGAACACAGACAAGTTGTATAAAACATCAATTTGTGTAAGCATTCAATAAAACCTTGATGAGATCATTTTGCTTCGTCTTCCGTGCTTTCATGCTTGGTGATACGCACCAAAACATGTGTGATTATCGTCACGTTGCACATCACCTCTCAGTAGGCCACTTCCAAAGTTTTTTTTCGGAATTAGTTGAGAAATAGTCAAAATGTGCAAAGCGTAGGTAAATCAACTTCAGTGAGCTTTAAAAGGATTAAAAAAAATTCCTGATTTGGCTTTCAGACAAGTCAAAAAATGACTGATTAAAGATGACTTTTGCTCAATTTCTTTTTCTGGCGTGTTTTTAAAATACAAATATTTTACGGGACAGACTTCGTGATGGAAAAATTAATTTAATACGTTTTGTTATTACCGTCAACGGTGGAGGTGTTTTGTCATCGACGAACTACAGACTACAGAACTTGGAGATAGTTTGTCTTGGGAAATATTAATAATATATTTGACTGCTTGTAATGAATTATATGCTGGCAGTTTTGTACCTATACCATCGTATTGAAACTATACATCTGTTTGTTGGTGTTGATTAAGCTATTGAGTAACAATTAATTCAAATTCAGATTATTAATAATTTATCACCGTTCAAAAAGATATAAATCTTGGAAACCGATACAAACCTTTTTTCCAGCCAGAAACAACAGCGGAACCCTTAAAATAATTATGAGCAGTTTATGGGCTGCTCTGATTGTGACATGATACGAGTCGGAGTGGAAACTAAATGAATCAGTAGGCATGAAGAGCAGCGGGGTTATGAGTTACATATTTAACAATTATTCCACGAACGCGCGTTGGATATGAGATGATAGATAGCCAACGAGGCGCGTAGCGCCGAGTTGGCTATAATCATCTCATATCCAACAAGCGCGAGTGGAATAATTGTTTTATTAAAAACGCCCCCAAGAAATTATTATTTTGT